TTCCTATTAAAATTAAGAGCTCATATTTGGTGAGAATTTTTTTTAAGGTGTCTAGCAACCCATTTTTCCGTGGCACTTGAAAAAAAAAAGTCATTTTTTTGACCCACCCTAATATATATATATATATATATATGTACGTATATCTTAATGTTTATCTATATTTTTCTTGTCTTTTTAAACGCAAATTTAATAGAAATGTTTTTTTGCAATATTTGTTTAAAAATCGTCCTAAAGTGCAACGAGTTTTTTTTTTTAAATATTCTCTTTCTTTTAGATCTTTTGATAAAGTTCTGGTTAAATCGCTACAAACAAGATGAATTAATATTCATTTTTATTTGCTCGATAAACCGCACTAGAAAAGAACAGTACGAAAAGCCCGAGGAAAAGAGAAAAATAGATAGGAAAGAGTGTGGGCAGGGGTAAGGGTAAAGTAATACGTCAAACGCAAAGACCCGGCGTACGTCCGACTTTACGTTAAGATGAAATTACTTTTACTCCACAAAGAAAGACTTCTTTGTCTCCTTTTATTCTTCCTACTTGTTCCAAGCGAAAACAAGAAATTTAATTTTTTACTTGGGTACCATTTGTTTTTATCCTCGGTAAGAAATTATTACGGAGATCGGAAGATGTAGGTCATAAGGTATTGCGGAATGAAAAAATGCTCGAAGAAAAAAGGGAGTGAGAAAGTTGAGGGGAAAAAAGGAATACGAGAGAGAGGAAGACAGTGAATGAGAAAGAGAAAGCGGATAAGAAAGAGAAAGGTACATAAATTGATAGATAGATAGATTGATAGATAGATAGATAGGTAGGTAAAGAGTGAGAGAAAGAGAAAGAGAGAGAGAGAGAGATAATTCGGACTTCGTGAAATCTTCGAGAAGCGAATGACAGAACAAGGATACCTTATCGTTGTCATCGTTGTCGTAACATGAAGGTTCCGGTTGCTTCCTCTCCTCTGAGAAAACAATTACTTTAAAGATTAGGTAGAGTATAACCCTTATGAATTTAATATAATATAGTGCACTGTAATACGAAGATGTGTAGCATGCAGAAAGTTATGTTTCAATGGGTATACCATGTAGGCACGTAGACAGTTGCTCGTAAAACATTTCCAAGCATAAAAGTAATACTATTGAGATAATATCTATAATGAATCATAGAAAAATATTAAAAATATTATTAAGCGTTTATTAATTTTATAATGTAAGAATAATAAAAAATTAAACGTTTAAGCATATATATACGTCAGACTTTGCGTTATATATATATATATATATATATATAGAGAGAGAGAGAGAGAGAGAGAGATTTTTATTCCCACGTAATTTAAATTTATTTATCAGTTATATCAGCACACACACACACATATATATATAAAATTGTTCAGGTTTTCTCGTTAACATGGAAAAGTACAAAGTTCAATTTAAACGTTGGTTTATTTATCTAGGAAAATTTGTGTAGCGTCATATGATGGTTGGCGCTGGTGTAAGAGAGTAAGCTATTGCTTTGCATATTAGCTCTCCTTTTTCGTTGACGACGAAAAGTCGCCCTTTCCAAACTTGTATCCATCCGGCCGATTAAATTTTCAATATCATCCGTCATATCGCTTAGGGATGAGAGTTAGTAGAAGAGTAGATGGGGAAGAGGAGAAGAGGGAGAGTAATAGTGGGATAGGAAGGGTAATCGTTTATCGATAATTCGTAATGTCGCTTTCTTGGCGAACGTTTCTGAACGTTTCTGGAAATGTTAATGAATACAATGTAATTTTCATTTGCGGGGATTTTCATTCAAGTTGTCCTGGTCACAATTCGACGCACGTTCTCGAAGCATTCTCTGTACTTCGTTGGGCTAGGCCAGGCAATGCCAGGACAAACCAAACCAGACCAGGCCAGGCCAATCAAAAGCAAAGCAAACCAAGCCAGGCCAAGCCAGGGCCAAGCTAGGGCGCAGTTCAGGCTAGACCAGATGGATAATGCCAGCCACCGGAATGCCGAATACATCCGAGTGGCTTGGCATTCCTACTTAAATCAACATAACTCGTATGATGAATGGTTAACAGGATTCACTGATAGCGGTGGGCTCAGGGATAGCGAAGGCGTGGAGTTTAGGTAGTTGGATCGAAGAGGAAGGAAGGGCGAAACGCAATGCGCTCCATTTATGGAACCTATTACCGGCGAATTTCAGCGTTAAATGTGTGATTTATGGCTACCCGTATTATCTTCGTTCACGTCCCGCGTCAACGATACAGTCTATAGAAGCTGTAGGACGTATGCGTTCTAGAAAATTACTTGGAAATTACCCCGCGGGACCGACCGAGGGAATGCACACACAAAAATTTCAACACTATGTTGCTGTTGTGCTCGTGCTGACTGGCTATATTTAATTGGTGATGGCCATTTTAAATACCCTTTTTAAATTTTTAATCGCGTTCCTTTTGGGGAGGGGGGATGAAGGCATCGGTAATGAATGGATACAAGCTAAGTGATAAAATCGTTCTCTCGTTCGTTATAACTTCTACCGTAGCGATAAATATAATTTGTAGTTGCTGCTCGGCGGGTTTGGGTTAGGAAAGTAGGAGAATATAGATTATCATTGAAATATTCGCGGAATTCGACGTAGAATTACATCGGATTGTGAAGCATTGAGATTCTTGTTGTATAATCGATCGGTACTGGTATTGGATTGATAGATAGAGTTATTTTACGATGAGTGAAGAAGAATTAATCAAAATACATTTATTTAACAGATTATATCGATAAATTATTAATTCCATTTTCAATTAACATTCTTATATAAATATGATTGAATATAGCAGATATAATTATAATACAATCCAATGTCACCACCATTAATTAATTCGAATAAAATGAAAATTTCACTGGTACTATGTTCTTTTTAACCTTGTTTTTATTTATTTGTGCAGGTTGCAACGCATCGTATGAGATGCAGGGACCGAGTTTTGTATCTGAACCACCTTCTCGAGTCGAATTTACCAATGTGAACGGTGGTAGAGTGGACTGCACAGTCAGAGGGAATCCAGCACCTACGGTGGATTGGTTGGCCGCCGATGGAGGCAGTATAACTAACATACCAGGCATCAGACACATTCTTGGGAACGGGACGATTCACTTCCCTGGATTCGAGGCCGAAGCTTTCCGACAGGACGTCCATTGGGCCATTTATAGGTGCTCAGCCGCTAACAGTGTCGGCGCCGTCGTCAGCAGAGACGTCACTGTCAGAGCAGGCATGCCAACCTTTAAACTTCTTCCTCGTTACCCCTGCGTTAATCCAAACGTTAGCCGGGCGACACCGCGTTTCCCTTTCCCAAGCATTTTCCACTATATTTTTTTGTTCTTTTTTCTTCTTCCATTTTTTCCTTTTTCTGTTTTTTTCGTGCTTCTTTATTCTACCTCGAAAAATTTCACATTAAAATTATTTTACATTAGCAAAACGAATTCACGAAAGATAGAAAAAGAAAACGAAGAAAATAGTTAAATACAATCATTTTGGATGTTTAGCAAGTGGATAGTATTTAGTTGGTTCGTATATATATATATACGCATGTCAGACTATTTAAATACCTGACGATAAAATGTCTGCATTAAGTAGAACAGGTCAGCGTTTAATACGACTGACGGCTACGTGTCATACCTCACTGTCAGTAAGAAAGATAGATACGAAGGGAGTAAGAGAAATAGATAGATATACAGATGGAAAGAATAATAGAAAAAAATATGTATACACGTCAGGATATTTTTTTCCTCACATCCGACAGTTTCGTTTTACTTCGTGATTACGTTTTAGCAAGATAACGAACTCAGCAGCGAATTAAATAGCTTCTCTTTGTTAATCGTCCTGTTCAAACTTACTCTCCACTCTTCCCTTCCTTAGCCTGGAGCCATTGATCGTTGGATCCGCGCCGACTCAAAAGCTTTCGTTTATCGAAAATTTCGAAAGAAACGAAAGAAACTCTTTTTTTTTTTACTTCAAGAATGTGAGGTATATTTTCTGATTGATGGAGGAGGCCTCGACCGTGATATGGTAATATTTATCCATATCACGTATCATTTTCGATTCGATGAAAGATGCATCTGGGGAATGTTAGGTATATAAGCTAAAATAGAAATGTATAAATATATACAAATGTAGTGAAGTATCTTCAGTTATATATATATATATATATATATATATATAGAAAAAAGTACGCGATCAAGTTCTTTTGTTCTTCCTCCACACTGAAGTATGAATTTATTTGTCAGAAAGTAGCTGAAGAATTTCTGTCGCGATATCAAATCGTGTCGAAGAGTATATTTGACTGAGAAGACCAAGTATCATGAATTATATGTATAGTTTTGTTGATACATATTTCGTCTTTCTTGTTGATTCGAAGAAAGAGAGATAGAAGGAAACAAAGAGTTGAAATTCGAATAAATAGTTTAATGATTTCTTACGATTAGATTTAATCGGTTGAATAATTATTTCTACGTTTTGAAAACATAATTATTAATTCTAACGCATCCATCTTATGCGAGTAAATTAGATTAAATCAAAGAAACATTAATTTTATTTTACGGTTCCTGACCATGAATCAGAAAAAATGTGAAAGATATCGAAAGATTTGATTCATTTTTATATTTTTATCAAAGGAATGTACCAAAAAGAAGACGGAGAGAGAAAGAGTTCGTGATCGTTTCCTTACATTCGATTGGCCAATATGGATGGAAACATATAGACACGGCGGGCGAATTTAGCAAAGAGGAAAAGGGTAGTACGACAAGGTAGAAAGGTAGTTTCGAAAAGGGAAGGAAAGGAAAGGAAAGGAAAGGAAAGGAAAGGAAAGGAAAGGAAAGGAAAGGAAAGGAAAGGAAAGGACAGAGATGGAGATACGAAAGGTGGAAGTACGGCGGTGCGATAAATGGAGCAAAAGGGGGTCGCGAGACGCCTTAAAAATAGAGCTTCCGCCGGGTCAACGAACCGGAAGATATCTTATCGACCTAATACGCCCGTAAATCATCGTCGCGTGAACGCAGCCCATACCTTTTCAGATTCATGCTGAGGATATCTCTGCCGCGTCAGCTCTCTCTCTCTTTCTCACTCTCATTCTCTCTTTCTCTTCCTTTCTGCCCTTTCCTACTTCATCTCTATCTCCTCCTCTCTTCTTTCTCTCCTCCACTTTCTTCTTCTTCTTCTTGAAGAAAACTCTTCCAACCGGATACGTTGTATTCCTCGAAGCAAAATGGATATGATTACATGCTCGCGCATGCCCAGATATCTTTTGTAGTATAACATGTATCGGTATACTGACTAGGAGAGAAGAGAGAAGAGATTGGAATCGAGTAACGCAACAATGGAACACCGTTTCCGCTTTCGTACGTTCCCTGAGACATCCAGCATCCTCCTACTGTCAAGAGTAATCTCGATTCTCGAACGAAAACATGTATGTACGTCTAACATCCATCTACATCCTCTACTTGTCTTGCTTGGACACGTAAGTTCTCTATGTAGATGTGTATATATATATATATACATACCTTCCTACTATCTATAAGTTTACCTATACTTATTCTCGATACGTGTCACTCTCATGAAATACGTGACACATGTTACTTTCTGTTTATGTATAGAACTTTCAACACTCGTGTATCTACATATATAGGTATATTTCTACGTTGTATCTTGTACTTTTACTTAGGTACGTGCAATCGTAAAAAGAACTTGAACCGTACGTTATGTTACTTTCCACCTTGGGCATGTGCAACTTTGAATTTTGCACAAGTCGAAGGTGACGTCTGTATTCATGTGAAAGGTCAAAAGTCGTCGTATTCGTTGTCGGTTTTTTCTTTTCTTTTCTTTTCTTTTTTTTTTTTCAAGTGAAACGAAGTTAGAAGATACGAACTGATGTTCGTTTCTTTCTCAAGAATAAAGGGAACCAGTACGTTTCCTTCATAAAAGATTCAGCCCGTTAGCGTTGTCCCATTTTGTTCACTTTAAACGTTCCTTCTCTAGAGTTTCCTTTCGTAGAACGAGTGGTAAATGTTTCGTACTATTTAAGTTAAGAGATAATTAATGATCTTTGTTAGTTTCGCGGTTGGCGATGAGAATGAAATTTTCTTCGTGACTTTTGTCTTTCTTTTTTCTTTCTATCTTTCTCTTTCTTTTATTCTTTCTCAATCTTGTTCTTTCTTTCAGCTACAATTCAATACGTTTTTCAATGTTTCCTTCCTCACGATTTATTTTCTTTTTCTATAAAAGGAAATTGAAATTCGATTGATAGTAGAACGTCTTTCTCGGTATTGCCTTTTCTATGCAATACGTCAAAGTTAATTACAATTTAAGTCATCAGAGAAAGGAGAAAGCCATTACGTGGCATGGCCATTACGTAATTTTACCTCTCTTCCATGAATTACGATAAATTTACGCAACGGTACTACGCAGAGCATGAAATGCGGTCAACCGAGGGAGTCAAAGAAGACTCTGTTCGCATTGAAAAAAGTTAATTAAGGTTCCTTTCCCTCGAAGAAAGACGAAATTATGCTACGGGCTAAGGAAAGTACCTCACTTTTGCTAAGGGTAAAGAGAAAGAATTTTAGAAGGGAATAGAGAATGAACGGGGAGGATATTGATAATTTATAAATAAATAAAATTACTTACTTTAAGTTTACTTTCCTCCTTTTATTTCTTCTTCTTTTTCTTCTTCTTCTTCTTTTTATTATTATTCTTATTCTATAATTTTGATAGAACAGCGAGCACGAATGATCCTTGGCTCATTCATTTTCTCTTTTCTGAATAAGATGATAAAAAAGAATATGGTTTTTGGAGCCGTCTTGAAGAGCAACAACGTTGATGATTGTAGATTTTGTGGGTAGGGGAGTGAGAGAGAGACAGCAAAGGTCGGTGAACAAAAGACAGGTACTATTTAAGACAAGCCTTGACTAAAAGTAACCCATCCGAAGCTACACTTCGTAGGAAATGAGGAAGTTTAACGACCACGAAAGACATTTATATAATAAAAAGCTCCTGGAATTCAGCAATATTTACTTTTATGGTATTACGGTATTACGCTTGAGAGTTTCCTTGGGTAACGTTCGCGTTCCTTCCCTTTGTTCCTCGAATATTATCCTCCACTCGTTTTCCTAAAACTCTTCCTATTTTCGTCTGTTTCTAGGCTGATTTTTTTGTTTTTGTGTGTGCACTTTTTACGTTTTCAAGGACGTTTTGTAAAACACCGAATTTCACATCACGTTCGTTTCGAATGGACTCGATGTACATGTACAACATATATCCTGTTACGTTTCGAGCTGGATACTCGAAACAGTTTTTTTTTCTACTCTACAAATCGAACGGTTTCATATTGGTAGGCAAAAAATGTGCGATAGGTAGAAAAACGAGAAGTAAGGATTTTTAATTTTTACGAATGTTTAGCAGTTTTTAACACTAGATTTCCCGAGATTTTGTCCATACCTATATTGCCCAAAAGCAGTCAGAATGATTGCTTTGTGACAGAATAACTAATGTGTAAAGAAATTCATTTAAAATTAATTTTTAATATTTTTTTATAATATTTACAGTTATAAAATGGGTTATCAGTAAATATTAACAATAAAAAAAATTTATTTCACTTGGGGAAAAAATAATTTATGCATTATTATCTGTACATTTTATGCAAATAAAAGTGGAAATCTTTTTATGTGTATATCTTCCGCAAACATATTTTTGACATTTTTCACATGTTTTATTTGTTTTGTTGTTTTAAATTTTTAAATTCTCTGATTTATACAGCAGAGTAAAAAAACGAGGCATGTTATCCTTTGTTTATTTGGCTGCTTTTGTTTCCTCTAATAGTTCCAATTAGAGTTGTTTTTTTGGTCAATAATTTTGTTTTGGCTAATTTTGACATGTTAGTGAAAAAGTTATCGGTCGTAATATTTCTTTCACAGCTTGTATATGGCTCGACAAGTTTCAGAACAACGTGTTCATTTAGAAGCATTGACGATGGTCGTTGTTCATCTTTCCCCAATAATGTTCATCTTTTCTTAAATAAGGAAAACCTTTCAATATTTGCTACTAACATCTAATGCAAGATAAAAAAAAATCAGAATTTGATGCCAAATTTGTTGGGTTTATTAGGCATATACTGTGTAAATCTGTACCTGGCTTTTGAAGGAAATAATTACTCATTAAGTGTTATATTTTGCTCTGATTGATAACAAGCTTGACTGTTTTCAATGAACTTATCCCATATTT